AGCACTATATGTGTGTGTATGCATGTGCAAGATACGATATGAATTATGTCGACATCGGTATAAGTTTACAATTCGTTGTGGCGCGCGTTGCTACAAATCTTGCTTCCTGAGTTATCGCTGCATTATGCAATTTATCCGCAGTTTAACAGAATTCAAGGGAAGACGTACGTACACACTTCGACGAAAATTTCTCCGTATAGAAAATTTTCTTGGGATTTGATTGAAATCTATTCCGATTTCCCCCGAAAAATGATGAATTCTGATAGGGAAATCTATGAAGATTCGGATTAGAAATATAATGCTTCAAAAATACGATTCTAAATGAGGGAATTGGGACAGATTCATTTTTTCTGTTCAACGTGAACACATAAAATAGAAATCTGAAAAAGAAAACTTCGGAAAAATGTTGGGTAAGGAAAATGGGATCTATCCTGTTCCCCATATAATCAATTTTCCGGGATCTAATTTGGATCTACTCTAATTATCCAATTAATTAAAGTTGCGATTCTAAGTGGGAACCCAGGCGGATTCTATTTGCTCTTACCAACGTTTTTCTAAAGCTTTCTTATAATTCGGACAAGAATGAGATTCCTAATTGGCATCGCAATGTGTTACACTGATTTCGGACAAATTTGCATAATCTCATCGGAATTCATGCCTGGATATGTTCGGGGAAATTTCCATATGGGTCGTTTTACATTTCGCATACCGCGGCTTCATGTTCACGTTCGTGTTTCCGAGAGATTCCTTCCCGTCCGTCTCGAATACTGTTCCACGAAATATACAACATCGTCCACCGGAGCTTTGATTCACACGTTCAAATATTTATTTTATTCTCCCGCAGATTTCGCTGTCGAGTTTCCGAGGCGGTAAAAGTCGTTGCATTAAACTTTCACAATACAATGCTCCCCCGAGGCGGTGCGATAAAAATGAGAGGTATCAAAGGCAACATCTCGCAGCGGGTCAATCGACAACGTTGCTGCGGAACGCGTTGGCACGTTGGTAACACCGCTCCGAGTTTCACATGACAACATGCGTAAAGTTTCGGCAGTACGCATACGCGGAGCGTGTGCGGTGGGGTCGCGCCGCGCGTGGCTTTATCGATTGTCGTCGCGCGCGTATGCACCGGCTGCCCCGCGGCGACCGCCGGTCCGTCGGAGGCACGACGGTGAAAAGAAGGAAAACCTCGTAATATGAAGCAGTTGCACCTGTTACACACGAGTGAACACCCGAACACTGCCGCCGCCGCATTATCAATGCGCACGTTCTACTTGTCGCGCATAAAAGTGCACCGGTTCGTTGGAAGCGAACGGCGCGCGCGTTTCCGCTTCTTACCGAGGAAAAAAAAGAGCAGGAGAATCTACACGGTCTGCGTGTCTGAGAAGCGAAAGGATGCCGAAAAATCCATTTTTTCATCCTCTCACAGAGAGAACTCCCCCGATTCGCATTTACAGGCGGCTCGACGTGGCTTAAGAATATATTTGATGAAACTTGCACCGCTTATATGTTGAAATATTATCTAACTCGTTGCTCGTGCAATTAAAATAAGATTGACCACTCGAGAGCTGAGATATTTGTAACTACAGTTGATACTGTTTATACGTTCCTTAAGATTTATTAGCGTGCTATTTTTAATTTCTATTTTTGTCTTTTAAATGAAAAATAAGATTTGAATGAAAAACTGCTTGTATTAAAGACTGATATGAAAGAATGATATTATATAAAACTAATATATAGACGTTATATATAAATTTCAGAATTGTTGGTTATTTTGTTTTGAAAAGACAGAAAAGTAAAGTAAAGTTCATAATTTATAATAATATTATATAATAATAATATAATAATATTAAAAAAAATATATATATATATATACATATGCACATATTTAAATATTTATTATATATCTCTTTCTATTGTCTGTACATCTCTATTAGGTCAACTAATGCATAAATATAGCACTAATAAGAAAAATAAGAAATAATCATATTTTCATATTTGTAATATTGTTTATGCATGCCTGCAACTTCGTTTTAAATTAACATTTATCATTTAGATAGTGAGATAAATGTATAGGAACGTAACTTTGCATGATAAATACTAAATTGATGACCATTGAAAATATGATACTAATGGACGATACATCCTTAATTTGTGATTCACGCAGCTTCAATGTTCAATTCGTAGAGCTCGTTTTCGCGATCACACGACACATGTCAATTTGGGACTTGCTCCAGTCTTGTCATATTTTCTATTGGATTTTTTGTCGTAAGAATTTTCGCGCGAGCTCTCCATTGAGATTTTCTATAATTATATCTCCGATACATTTTTTTTATAGGGCGTTACATAAAATGCGTTTTCTTTTTGTTGTGTTTTGTTTTCCCCGCGAGATATATATATAGTTCGTTATTGACGGAAGGGTGAGAGAAGACGCATTTCCTTACCGTAAAGGTTGCGCTGTGTTATAATAGGTAATAATGGGCTGCGTTTTATATACAATATATACATGTATATATATATATATATATATATATATATATATATATATATAT